CTATGGCCAAGCTCGTACATGAGACTGTTGGCTGAAGGGAAACTGTAGAATAGACACACTCAGCATGTAGACAATGGGAGATCTTGTACTCATCGTATAGAATAACATCATTACTGGGACTGGCACGAATCATGTAACAGATAAAGAAATATCGTATTCATCTTTTTTCTCGTTTGGAAAAACAGACATGGAAATCGAAGACGAGGGAATCGCTGTTCAACCCTCAATCCGTGTACAAGCATGCCTCATCAGCTTCTTGAAGCTATTTCCTCCCTTTCCCATCCTCCTAGTATCAGGCATTAAATTCTTCAAATCACCAAGCCTTGTCCTTGTTTCCCTGTCCTAAAGTATCTCTCTCATTTTGAACTTGAAGTGACGTCTCTGAACCTCCTCTAAGACACTGCCCGACTCTTATCATACGCGAATACGTTTCCTTATCTCCTAGAGGCATCCAGTCCTCCCTGGAGATCCTGCTCGAGCCCTGTGTTTCCATGGCCCGGATACTCCTGTGGTCGGGGGTCCTCCGCTGTCCATTGGCTGTTGCCCTGAGGCAGAGGAACGGGCACTCCCTGCTGGTTCTGGAGACCGGCGGGGCCACCTTGGCCAGGAACAGTGCGGACGGTCTGTCGGAATCGCGAAACCTCGTCCAGAATCATGCCTCTCATCTGGGCAACATCCTCAACGACCTCAAAGTCGAAGTTGAATGTGGTAGGGCAGTCGGGCTCGTCTGAGGCATCGTGCCAGATGTGGAGGTAAGGGTGCTCGAGAGCTTGCTCTACGCTGATACGAGACGAGGGGTCGAAGGCGAGCATCTTGTCGAGAAGGTCGAGAGCATCAGGGTTGGCCTGAGGGAACAGGCTAGGGAATGGCTTCTTGGGCATGAAAGGTAGGTTGCGGACGTATTCCTGGGCACGGGGTGAGCCAATGCGAGAGAGGGTCTCCTCATTAGGAGTTCCAAGAATGTGAAGAATCTGGTTGAGCTGGTCGACGTAGTCACGGCCCTTGAAGAAAGGTCGGCCGCCCAGCAACTCGGCAAGAATACAACCAACAGACCAAACATCAACTATATTGGGTCAGTAAGACAACTCACTAGCACTGTGGTTTCGGGTCACACATACTCGCTTTGGTGTAGCTCTGGAAGCTTAACATGATCTCAGGCGCACGGTACCATCGGGTAGCGACATACTCGGTCATGTATCCGGCATTCTCCTCGGGGTCGACTGAGAAACCTCGGGCAAGACCGAAATCGCAAATCTTGAGCTCACAGTCGGCATTGACAAGCAAATTTCCGGGCTTGAGATCTCGGTGGAGCACATTGGCGGAATGGATGTACTTGAGACCGCAAAGGATCTGGTAGATAAAGGATTGGAAATGGGCATCGGTAAGAGGCTGGCCAGATCGAATGATGGCAGCCAAATCACACTCCATCAGCTCTACGCTGTGTCAGCTTATAGTCACTGTTTCTTCTCGGCTCGTTACTGACCCTCGTACAGATACGTCTCGTTGAAGTTATCGGGTCGAGGAATGTCCATGTCGTACAAACATGTGATCTATTCATGAACATATTAGCATACGCGTCCTTGCTTGACCCTGGTAGTCGTTGCGCCTCGGCAGAACTCACGTTGCGGTGGCCTCGGAAGTGCTGAAGCAGCTTTATCTCGCGCAGAGCGCGCTTGGCGAGAATCTTCTTGCTGAAGACATTGGTGACCTTCTTGATGGCGACGCCCTCGTTGGTTTGGTTGTTAACGGCGGCACTGAGAGGCGGGGTTATCGTCAGCAAATGCAGAGGCGGCGGGGTAGACAACGAGTTTGGAGTCGCAGCACAAGCAAGAAGACGAGTGCTACGAGCAGTAACGGGATGCGCACTCACCAGACGATACCGTAGGCTCCCTGTCCAAGCTCCTTGGTGACCGTGTAGCGTTCGTCGACGATAAAGTCCTGGTTAAAAACCTTGAAGACCTTGCGTCCTTGAAGGTCCGACATGGTGGCTGTTCTGTCTGATAATGATCTTGGATGCGGTGCGGGGCAGATGGAAGATAGAAGCTTCGAATGCGACAAGGTTTTGGTCAAAGAGGAACGACCGTTTGCGTCGCTTGAGGAGTGAACTTTATAGGGAAAGACAAGGTATATAAAGATGAAGAGTTTAGAAATGCTGGGTAAGAATAAGACAAAGAAACCGTCAGCGACGTCTTTGCGATATATGTAGGTAGGTATGTACCTTACCTTATGTTGCTGGTTGGTTGGGTCCCGCGGGTTGAACGAGTGGAATGGGAAATAGCTCCCTCAGCTGCTGAGCCCATCCCTGGACTGCTACTGGACGAAGCATTGCGTTGCTGTTTTAGCAGGGGCTTTCAGGGCTGCTAGAACCGATCCACAGTGGCCCGAAGCCGCTAAGGTATGAAAAAAAGGGACCCCGCAGCGAAGTCACCGCCTGGTGATGTGGCTGATTTGCTCGGCTTGCGGCCCCCACACGCACTGGGCCAATGGGAGGACGAATCAAGCTCTTCACTTGATAGCCGCGCGACAACGACCCTGGTTCTCAAGTCGCAATGATGCATGCAACGGCTCGGCCTCATCTATTGCAAAAAGGGGAACTTGTCGTGTTGGACTCTCAGAGGACGCAGACTCAAATTTGATGATTTAACAACACGCGTTCCTTTACGAAGTCCAAAGTTAATCCCCTCCTAATACACAAGAGAAGGAGAAGGTATCTCGGCATTCACCTCCCGCTTCGTTAGGTCGTGTATCCAGCCGCACGCCGTCCTGTGCCAACAAGGGGCTGAGTCTGTTAAAGGCCATCACCGATGGTCAGCAATCTCATCCAATCTCACCCGGCATCTGAGAGATCCGCCTCACGTAAAGCCTCCACTGAGAATTAGGATCCAATGCCGTCAAGTTGCCAGGTGTACAGTATGACCTCGTGTTGTTATCAAAGTCTCTGGGTCCGGCATCACCGATGCAACATGACAGACATGAGAGACACTCAGAGTGAAGTCAGACAAATTGAATGACGCTGTTCTTCAGCCCGAGATCAAGGCCGCCCACTAGGCCGCTGCATCGTCAGCCCTGGGATCATAGGGCTGAAGCTTGCCAAGTGGGACTGTCACTGAACTCCCAGACTGTGACATTATGGTGTACGGTACTGTTTCTGATGTCTTTGACAATTCTCCTGGCCTCTTTTGATCATTGTCAAGGCATTAGAAATATTGAGCAAACTTGTGATTGCATCATCTCGTGAGAAGTGGCCCACCAGAGAAAAGTTCGCCGGGTTTCCTTCTTTTTCTTGCTTCGAGACCAGCTTCCATGGGTGTTTATCTGAAACCGACCTCATGGATTCTGAGACACAACCTGTAGGATCGACATAGAATAACCTACCCTCCAACTTAATCGAACCGTCTTGCTGGGAATCATTCAGCCAATAATCATCAACTTTGTTGAAGTGTCAATAAATATTCTAATCTACCTAGTCCCCTCTAATATATAGCCTACCTCGTTTCCCTTCATTGATCATCTATCTGTATGTACGTACAAGTATTGGGTATTAAATCCATCACCACCCCCCAACTCCATCAATATCATCTCATCCAGCCATTTACTCTTCTCCGAAAATCTCCTTCAGAAAGTTCTTGGAGAACCGTGTGCACTGCTCATACGCCTTTGCGAAACCGTCGTCTCCGCCGTAGTAAGGATCGTTGACGATCTCGGGTCGCTTTGTTCCGCTGAATTCGCCGAACAGCATAACCTTGGCTTTGGAGTCTGGGGCGTTCTTCTGTAGTCTGTGAAGATCGGAGAGGTTTGATCTGTCCATGGCGAAAATGTAGTCAAAGGTGTTGAAATCGCTTGGGTGGAACTGGATATTGTGTCAGCAAGATTACGATGCGGGTGAGATGGAGGGAAACATACGCGCCGCGCGAGATGGTCGTAATCATTTATACCATTGGCTTCGAGAGTAGCCATGGTTCTATCATCCGGGGGTTCTCCGCTGTGATAGGCAGCTATAGCAAGAATAGTTAGTTAAATTCCGTTTTGTTTGTTCCGACTTTCATACCTGTACCGCAAGAATCGATGCGCCCAATCTTGTCCTTGAGATTCGGCTCCTTGGCAAGGCTCTGGAAGATACCCTCAGCCATAGGTGAGCGGCAAATATTGCCGAGACACACAAAGAGGACGTTTACTTGGTCTGGCATGATTTGATTTCGACGATGATACAGTGATATGAAACAGAGTACGTAGGTCGATCGCGAGAAAGAAAAGGAAAAGTAACAATAAGCTTAACTTATTTATCGAGAAAGGAGGGAAAATGAAAGAACCGAAATACTGATGATCGCAATGGGATTGAGTGACGTGACGGCCCGATGCGCTTAATCTACTGTGCCCCGCCATCTCACAATTCCAGGCTTTGGAGTGGAGAGATGGAGGGGCACGGGCACAGTATTAAAAGCCATGGCCATCAAAAGCTGAACTAATGAACAGGATAGATTATAATCATCAATATTTTCCGGTGATATAGACAAGCTACCTATAGCACAACCAAACTTCACCTCTCAGTCTCCAACTGCCTGCCACTATGTCTCACCATCTCTTGGCATTGCATCAGATCGTTCATTCACTCTAGATAATCCGAAAAATAAACAAGTTTCAGTGAACCAAACACTGTATGGCCTTTACTAAGCGGCACGTGCTCTCGTGCTCAGCTGGCGTCCGATATCCCTGTCAAGATGGCTTCTCCAACGCGTTCCAATTGTTGAAACCGTGCAAGCATCGTTACTTAGTTAGCTCAAGCCATCGGCCTAAAGTCTTCCCATCTTCACGGTTCACAGCTAGCAATCCGACAGAACGATGTGAATAAGCGTAAATCCATTGAGTGAAGAGGCAGCAAGATGGTCTATAAAAAGGGCTTCGATACCTCAATGGCCTCAGGCTGAACTTGAACTTGAACTCTCCATCCTTCAATCTCAAACAACTCTTGATTCTTCTTAACATCATCTCAACAATCCAATATGTCTGAGTGGAAGCCACCGGCCTTTGGTACCCCCGTCTGGATGAGCATCCCTGCCACAGACGTCAGTCGTGGTATGTCCTAGCCAATTGCTAGTCTGTCTTGCTCTTACACCTCTATAGCTACAGAGTTCTACAAGACTGTATTCAACTTCAACTTCAAGCACTCCGACCACAAGAGTCCTGATGAGTTCAGGAAACTCGACTTCAACCCCAGTCTTGGCTTGACAGGTGGTATTCAGCAGGCTCCTGACCGAACTGGTAACTTCCATCCAGGAAAAGGGGGTCTTATGGTTTACTGGTTCGTCGAAAACGTTGACAGCATCGGGCCTATCATTGAAAAGTCTGGAGGAAAAATGTTGACTGAGAAGGATAAAGAAGGCGATTTTGGCCTGTATAGATTCTTTCAGGATACTGAGGGATCTGTTGGTGCCGTGTACCAGATGGCTTGAACTTCTACTTAGGATGACCGATCTGTGCTCTTGAATTGACTACACTCCTTTTGCTCATCACTTTAATCGTCTCCTCGTATGATACAGGTATTCAACGACAATCGCCCAGAGTGATCTGATAGAGGTGTCCAGAACGATGCTAAGGGGTCGAAGTCAAGGCACTTGTGTATCAAAACAAGTTCAATAACAGTGTCTGCACCAGTTATAGGAGGAAATTCGAAACTAACACTGAGATCCTTGATGCTTGTTGGAGTTCAAGTTTATAATAACTGGAGAGTCGTAGAAGAATGGCACTACGTGAGTGAGCTGTACAGCTGTTAGCATGTCTGGGATACAGAACGGTGATCTTTATTACTTATAGTAGAGACAAGAGTTGTCAGTGTGCCGCAAAGAGCCATCATAAAAACTCAGCGTGATAAAAGGCGACTTCCAAACTTCCGCTGCCTGCCTTTGCTCATAGTTTGTGTTGACAGTAGAACAACGGCCGATAGCAAGACTTCTGGGAGTGATCTCTCTCTCTCTCTCTCTTTCGCTCGCTCGCTCTCAAGCTGCAATGATATCAGAGGCACCAGTATCTCTCCTACGAGGCCAGATGCGACTGTATCCTTCATGGGTGAAAACTATAGCTCTTTGCAGTCTAGCATACTTGCCAGCTTGTCTAATAGATTTCACAACAGCCCGATACCACTGAGTATAACCACGCAGCGAAACGGACAACTCAACGAGATAGTTAGTTCTTGGAGCAGGATAGCGTCACTTAGACATAGTCTACGATATGCTACAGCAAAGGTTCGCATGCTTACCTTTGCTATATAAGTAAGTCCGTAGACTACCTAAGAGCCTGGAACTCTTGGAATGTACATGACCCAAGCTCGTTACCTCAAATAGACTGCCAGGCAAGCTCAAATCTCACAACCACACGGCCAATCACTAGACGAATAAGCTTATTTGAATTTTTGTTTCCATTCATTTTTCATACACAATACAAGAGAGGGGATGCCACATATAGTCGAGGCGCCGTGTCATCGCACGTTATTCTGTCCCCTCACCCGCTCCGCTGGGCGATTCCAGCATCAATCTCCAGGTCTTCCACATATTCCCCTACCCAAAAAAAGACACATACGCCAGGCTCGGTTGAAATGCAATAATAATACACAGAGCGTACACAGCCCATCAGGAACCTTTCCCTCCCGAGGTTGTGCTGCTCAGAGGCCGTTGTCGTTCATTGTTACAGTTGGTCGTATCGTTATGCGTTCAAGCGAGCTGTCGCTGACGTTCTCGCCGTATCGTCTCGAGTACTCCCATTACGCCATTGTTGCGCAATCGTTCGAGGACGAGTTTCATGCCATCTCGGCTTTTTCCCATTTGATCCTGCGTCTTGGTAGAGGCGATGCTCTCGATGCTGCGCTGGATACCCTTCGTGCCCCAGCCACCAATGATACCATTCTTGAACCAGCCGTCCTCTTGAGCTTGTCCCAGTTTGCCCCTAATTTTATCACCGAGCCTTGACCTAAACTGAACCATGGTCGTCACAGCAGTCTCGTTAGGATTCTGGTTAACGCCCTCGGCAGGGACTTTAAACTCCTGCTTTTCAATGACAGAAAGCACGCCTGTGAAATTGAGGTTTCGACTCTCCGTCTTCATCCAACCCTCCTTGATATCGACAACACTCGTCTCGAGAATGTATGAAGCCTTGTCTCCAGAGCCACCACCAGTGACACTTGCAGGAAGTAGCTTGTATACAGCACCGGGCATTCGGCTTTTCTTCAGGTGAATTCGAGTTGTGTGAAGTCGACGGGTCTTTGGGTCGACATAGCTCTCAATGGTGTCGGTGCTGAGAACATGGGCGGCGAAAGGGTTTAGCTGAGGCGAGGAGTAACGGAGGAAATAAGCGAGAGTGACAGTCGGGAATGGATGGTTATAGTTATGGTTCGTCGTGTGAGTGAGAACCATTTTCGCGGATTCGAGCAAATAATGCTCGTCAAGAAAAAAGAATCGAAGAGAAGCGACGTAGAAGAAGAGGTCCAATTGATCGAGTGGCAATTGGCTTGACCTATCAATTCTGCCAAGAAGCTCTAAACAAGTCTTAGAGCTTAATGAAACCCCGATTCCTATGCCAATGAGGCGTAAGCTCGATGATGCTCTTGGATCAAGTTGATCACGAAGAGGTTGGTGGTTGCGGAAAATTGAGCCGGCGCCTCGGCTTAAGCACCAGTACTATCTTATCTCCGGGGGGCACGGAGCCGGATATGGGAAATCAATAAGAGAGCAGTAAGACGGACTCAGAAGCGGAGCTCGCAGCTATGTCGGGCCGCGAGAGAATTTACACAAGGGAAGAATAATACAGTAAAAAGAGCTGATGATGGAGTGATCAAGTTTAGATCTGGAGACCCTCGCGACCTCGACAAGCAGAGCAGAGCAGAGCAGAACAAGCAGCACGAGACTTTGGAAGTAGCAGCAGTACTCGACTAGTCTGGGCTTCTTTCTCCGCTCGCTGTGGAAGAAGAAAAAAGAGGAGGAACTTGGGAAGAAAGTGGAGGCAAAAGCACGAGCAATCGGCTGATTGATGTCGTTTAAACCAATCAAGAGCTTCTTGAACACGAAACTCACAAGTTTCCGATTGGTCCGTGATGAGGGGTCGGTTGATCTGGGGAGAGAATGTGGCGATTAACACGTGACTTATATCACAGCGTCATCAGACTGCAACACCAGAGTTTGGTGAGATGACGACAGTTTTGGGACTCACGATGCCACAGGGGGAAGAGTATGACGAATCAATGTCGCTTGGTCTGCACAATGACATAGCATTCATAAGAGGTGCTATCTGAATGCTACCCGTTGGCTCGAGCCGGGGG